AATAATTCTTTTGAAATTAATTAATAAACTTTCAGTTTTCTTAAACAAAATTTTAATTATTTTTAATTTAAATGATAAAAAACTAATGGAAAAAATTAACCTTATTTTACTGATGCATTAATGGATATTTAAATCATTTCATTGCTAAAATTAAGTTTAAAGTAAAATTAAACTTTTTTTGATTAATATTTTATTGAGGCACATGCATAAATAGACATTTTAATATAATATTTTAAATAACTTAAAAGCTTTTTTAAAATTAAATTATCATTAAAAAATAACTATTAATTTTATAATATAAACAAAATTGTATTTCATATTTGTTTTTTATTAATAACCATCTTGGTTTTAGCAATATTGAAGACTTAAGCAATAGTATATCCAATTTAAAAATCTGGTTTCTTTAGATCTTAATTTAAGCTAAAATACAATTATTTATTCAGTCTCTATTTAAATAAATATGAGAATTTACTAAAAATAAATAAAATGATTGAATAATTAACTTTCTATCTTAAAAATTAACTATTTATTAGCTACTACCTAAAAAATTAACTAAATAGCAAGCTAAATAACTAATTAACTTATTTTTCATGAGCTTTTCGTCTGCCCCAGGCTACCTATTTTACAATATTTATTAATTAATAATCTTCAAGGTTAGAGATAGATCTATTGAATTAAAATTAAAAAGTAATTTATAGTAATTATTTATAATTTAATTTTGCATAGATGAATATATTTTTATTTGTTCATCTTATTTTTCTATTTATTATTTGACTTCAATCGAAATATTTAATTCTTCAATTATAATAATCTATCCATCAGACAACAAATTTATTTACTTCAATTATTAGGTTTTTATTTATACTTTTTAAAAAATAAATTGCTTGATGCACTTCTAGTTTATCAATCATAATCTACATTAAAATAATAAAAATTAAATACATATTTTACTATGATTTGATTTTTCTTATTATTCTTTATATTTTACACATTTTTGATTATTTTATCATCTTATAAAGTCATCTTCTTAATTCAACCTTATCCAATTTAATTTATTCAATTACTAAGGTCTTTAAATATAAATAAAATTCTATGAGTCTTAATTTGAAATTTGTATTATATTTGTTTTGCTTAGCAGAAAGCAGTTGCTATTGATAAAATTTATAAAATTTTTTGTATTAATACCTAAAAATAAAAATTAATATGTACTATTATTTTTCTTATGAAGTGAATTTTTAATGTTGACAGAATATATGTATTTATTTTATATAATATTGTAAAATTTTTTATTTTTTAAGTTAGTTTATCTATCATAAGCAATATTTTATCAGAAATTAAACTATCAAACATGAACAAATATTTACTTTTATTGCAAAATTACTTATTTATATTTCTGAATAATTGGGTAAGGATATATATGTTAGCTTTTAAAAGATTTTGGCTCTACTCTTAGTGTATGATATTAGAATTATTTTGTTTATCTTGCTCTTTTAATAAATTTTATCAGTTTTTTCTTTTATACTATTTTGTGTTATCATTAAATTTTAGTAATATCATATATTTGTCTAATTTGATCTTTCTAATGACTTTTTTGATCAACAAAAGAATTTTTTTCCATCTATCTATCTTCTTTATTTCTTTCTCTTGTTTTAATTAGAAAGCAAACTAAATGCTCCAAGTTGGGGATTAATAATTATAATGTATATTTTTTAAAAATAAAGTATATTCCAAATCATAAAAAAGAAACTAACTAATAAATGCTTCTTAAAAAGACACTTATTTGCCTTTCAATATTTTTGATTTTAGCTCAATGCTAAAATTTGAATGGCAAAAGAAACATGTACAAATTGCTATCTTCTAGTAATATTGAAGAGGCCATGTAAGAATTGTGTCCCTTCCCAGGTTATCATGGTACCTACTGTCCTTAAGAAAACGTTGCTTTTGCTTCCTATAAGAGAAATCTTCAATCTGGAATCCCTAAAATGCCTTCAGGTATTGGTGCTTCCTTCGATATTTCTACAGGTGAACTCAAGCTCCCAGCTATCTAACTCACTTATTAATCTGAACCCAGCTAACAATAAATTTATACTGACCCTTTTTCTAGTCATTAATTTATTGTTGCTGATGAAACATCAATAGAATAGATTAATTTAGATGCTGATATAAAAGTTTTCAAAAACGAATTTGAACTTACTAATATCTGGCTTGATGCTACTCAAAACGGATAATGGCTTGGAGGTGAGTACAGTTAATCAAAAGACTTAAATGATGTCTTCACTAGATTCTTCACGAATAACTAATAAACATCTATTGCCTAACAATCTAAAAATGTTATCAGAATGACTTTCAAGACTGAGAGCTTGAAGCTCAATAGATTCGCTCAAAGAGCAATTGATGCATTACCAGAAGATTACTAAGTAGATGTTTACAATGAGTTCTTAAATGCTTGGGGAACTCATATTTCTATTGATACTTTTGTTGGAGGTATGATTGAAAAACAAACAGTGTTTAAAGATTGTATTTTCTTCACTCCTTAATTCACTGGCGGCTTTTCAGCTGAATAAGTAAATGAAGCTTTAAGAAATGAATTGTAGGGTAATCCAGCTGAAGGCTTTTTCACTGCTAGAAGATAGGTAACTTTGGATCATAAATTTGGTGGTAATCCAGAAGATGTTGCTAATTGGGAATAGACAATCAGCTAAAATCCTGCTTTGTTAAAAATTAATAGATTCTTGTCTTGGGATAACATGACTGCAAATCCTTAAGTTAAGTCAAATTTATAACAAGCTATTAATAATAGAATCGAATCAATGAGACAAAGACAATAGAGCTATTAAGACTAAGTAAGAGAATAAAGAAGAATTGAAAGAATATAACCTAGAACGGCCTGGGCTATTGGAGGAAATGGTTACTGCGCAGGTCAACATCCTCTTCCAATAAGTATTAGTATTACAAGATAATTTGAAATGAAAGCTGCTGGTGTATGTCCTGTTGGAGCAGATAGAACATATGCTGAACAATTCTGTGTATCTGGTCCCGTTCATTCACCATAAGATTTGCTTAATGAAGTAAGATACGAAAGAGATTAAGAAGGTAACTACAGAACTATTCAGTATAACTTATTCGCTGATATTACCGGAGGCCCTAAAGAGCTAGTAGGAGATTTTGTTGATAGAGGATGTAGTATTGCATAATATTACGAAGGTACTAAATATACTGATTTTAATTATCCTCCTCCTAATGAGACCATGTTTAAAATGATTTGTACTGATTGCATGCCTAGTGTATATAACAGTCCCTAAGGATAAGTTTTCTAATGCAGCTGTCCTGCTTTTTGAAAAGATTGATACTTACATAAAAAGTTTTACAAAAATAAAAAAATTTTTAAACATATTAAAATTGCTTATATAAAAAGAAATTCCAAGCATCCATAAAAAAATTTGCAAATAAATAATAAAGATTATTTAAATAATATTTATATTAATCTTATTTTTTTTAATATTGTAAAAATTCTTCTTCAAAATATAATTTCATATATTTTATAAAGCATTTTTAAAATTTTATTTTTCATTAATTGTAAGTATATTCTTATAAATTTATAAATGATGTAGAGTAAAAATAAAAATATGAAAAAAAATTTGCTTTAACTCATCATTGTATAAATATCTTAAAAAGTATAAGTAAGCAAACAAATAAATCAATAAAAGAATAAATGTATTGTAAACTCTTTGGTTTTATCATATTTTAGTATTTATTTTATATTTTGTCTTAAATCTTAGTTTAAAACTTTCTTTTTTTTATTTAATTCATAATTTAATTCCACTTTATTTCAAAATATTTTATTATAATTCTAATCCTCATCTTCTTCATTTTTCTTTTTAATGAATATTAATACAATAGGTACACGCCTTTTAAAGATGGATTTAGTAAATAATAAGGATAAATTTAGTATAAGGATGGTTTTTCAATAAGAATATTAAAATTTGGAAATAAGTTATTTTTGGGCTCTCCTTATAGAGGAATACCTATTGTAATTAAGAAAACAGCTTCAGTGTTTGTTTTTGTAACGCAATAATTCCATACATCATCAATTTTTTTTATGTTTTAAAACCTAATTTAAATATTTGAATAACTGTTTGCAGAACAAAATTCATCTTTTTGAATGTGATTTGCTTTTATCAAAAATAAGCATAAATAAAATAACTAATTAATTAATTGGATTTATTGGAAAACAAACTTTTAATACAATGATTTACTAAATTATTCCTACTTTATATTAGTTTGATATTTTATCTTTTTAACATTTATTTACTCATTTTATTAAAAGTATAACTAAATAAATAATTAAATCCTTCATCCGATATTATCAGAAAAAATAAATTATAAGAAGGATGTGGACAATCAATAAAATTTTTCCATATTCAATTTAAATTTTTTTCCATTAAAGATAATATTTATTATTCATTTTTAACTACCTGCTATAGATAAATTTTGTCCTTATACTAAATAAAAAAGTATCCAAATAACCATATAAAAATTTATACATAAAATTTTTAAAAAAATCATTTTAAAATATCTTTAAAATAAAAAAATATAAACTACTTATTATTATTAAATATTCATACATATAATTATTTAATATTAAAATAATAACTAAGTAATTTACTATTTTCTTACAAAAATAAAATATCTAGAATAGCTATTATTTATACCCAAGTAAAATTTATGAAAATATTTATAATTTAATAATGTTGGTTTTTATTGAAAAATATACAAACTTTAATAAAAAACAAATCTTATTATTCAAAAGGCATTTTAACATTTAATTTAACATATTTTTAATTCATTTTATTTTTTTCAAAAAAATTATTGATTTTTTTATCCTAATGTGATTCTAAGGTTTTTTAAAAAAATAGAGAAATTAGTAAATTGGCAATTTTTTGGGTATTAACTCATATTCTGTCGATATTTTTGTTGGAGGTATGATTGAAAAACAAACAATGTTTAAAAATTGTATTTTTTTCGCTCCTTAATTAGCTGATAGTTATTCGGCTGAGCAAGTAAATGGAGCTTTAAGAAATAAATTGTAGGATAATCCAGTTGAAGACCTTTTCACTGATAGAAGATAAGTAACATCGGATCAAAATTTTGTGGTAATACAGAAGATATCACTAATTGGGAATAGACAATCAGCTAAAATCCTGCTTTATTATTTAATTAATTTTTGTCTTTGGATAGTATGGCTGCAAACCCTTAATTTAAGGCAAATTTATAACAAGTTATCAATAATAGAATCGAATCAATGAGACAAAGAGAATAGAGCTATTAAGATTAAGTAAGAGAATAAAGAATAATTGAAAGATTATAACCTAGAACTACCTGGGCTATTGGAGGAAATGGTTACTTAACAGGTTAACATCCTCATCCAATAAATATTAGTATTACAAACAATTTGAAATGAAAGCTACTGGTATATGCCCTGTCAGAACAGATAGAATATATGCTGAAATAAACTGTTTATCTGGTCTCGTTTATTCACCATATGATTTGTTTAAAGAAGTAGGATATGAAAGAAATTAAGAAGGAAATAATAGATCTGTTTGCATAACTTACTTACTAATGTAAAAGGAGGTTCTAAAGAATTTGTTAATGTATTTTGTTGATAGAGGATACAGCATTGCTTAATATTATGAAGATAATAAGTACTTTGATTTTAATTTACCTCCTCCTAATAAAACTATGTTCAAATTAGTTTGTACTGATTTTATGCCAAGTATCTATAAGAGTCCTTAAGGATACATTTTCTAATGTAGTTGTCCTGTTTTTGAGAAATCTTCAATAGTCTAGATATATAATTTAATAAGAATAATTTAAATAAAAATTAATTTATTCTTAATAATAAAAAACATCAAGTTTTTATATTCATAATTATAATGAATTGAAAATTTACATAAAAAAAATAATTTTATAAAATTTTTTCATTTTTTGATTTGATTAAATTTATTTGTAAAAATAATTTAATCTAAATTTACATTTTTGGGAAATAATTTAAATAAGATAACTATTAAAATAAAATTACAGATATATTTAATTATGTTTGTATTGCAATATCTAATTATTAAAAGATTTACTGAAACATACAACCTATATTTAGTTAAATAAAAAGTTATGAAAAAGCAAGCAAATCCTTAAATTTTAATAATAAATGCATATCTACTTACTAAAAAACAATAATATTTAGATAAAACCTTTAATTTAAAGATAATTAATAATAATATATTTCAAAAATAATAATAATGCTTATGAATCAAAAAATTTTATTTTAAAAAATGGATCAGATTAATTTTTTTTACTAAAAAAAAATGTTTATTTAAAGAAATTATAATAATTATTAATAATTAATAGCACACATATTCCTTTCTTTTTTTATATTAAATGAATTGAAGTCATTAAGAAATATAAAAAGCTAAATCTTTCAAAAGGTATTTTCAATTTTTATTTATTTTTTTTCTTTATGATTTATATATTTTTTTCGCTTTTTAATTAATTAGTAAAAGTAATAAAATTAATATAATTTGTGGAAACTATTTATAATTTAGTTTAACCTACATGAATATAATTTAGCTTTTTTCCTATTATTTTTCTATTTATTAATTTGACTTTAATCAATAAAGGACTTATTTTATTCTTTATATTTTACATACTTTTGATTATTTTGGTATTTTATAAAAGCATCTTACTCCAAATTTATTTATCTCATTTCATTTCATCATATTATATTACTATTATATTTAAATATAAATAAAATTGTATTTTTCTTTTAGTTTACAGTTTGCATTAAATTTGTTTTAGCTTGCAGAAAGCAGATTAAAATTTCTATTAGAAAAAAATTGCAAATTTCTTTTTTGTTAAAACCAAATAAAAAAAATTGATTTGTACCTTTATTTTTATGCAAAGTTATTTTTCAAATTTTGATCAGATGAATTATTATTTCTTTGAAATAAAAGTGTAAAATTTCTATTGTTATAGGTTATTTTAACTATCATAAGAAATTTTTTATCAAATTAAACCTATAAAATATAGAATTTTTATGAACTTTTATTGCCTACTTCAAATTAAGTAATTACTTTTTTATATTTGAATAAGTGAATAATGATTTCAATGTTAGTTAGCGCTTTTTAAAATTTTTGCGTTTACTCTGAGTATATGATAATTAAATCTTGGAATTATTTTGTTAATTTTGGCTCATTAATAAAATTTATCAGTGTATTCTTTTACATTATACGATTTCTTATTATCATACAATTTAAGTAAAATATAAATTTTGTCTTTATCAATTTGATTTTTCTGGTGATTTTTTTGATCTCTACGAAAAATTACTTTGGAATTATTATTTTTTCATCTATCTATCTATCTTTTTTATTTTCTTTCTCTTCTTTTAATTAGAAAGTAAACTAAATGCTCCAAGCTGGGGATTAATAATTATAATGTATAATTAAAAAAATAAAAATAACATCTTAACATTATAAAAGAAAGTAACTAATAAATGCTTCTTAAAAAGACACTTATTTGCCTTTCAATATTTTTGATTTTAGCTCAATGCTAAAATTTGAATGGCAAGAGAAACATGTACAAATTGCTATCTTCTAGTAATATTGAAGAGGCCATGTAGGAATTATGTCCCTTCCCAGGTTATCATGGTACCTATTGTCCTTAAGAAAATGTTGCTTTTGCATCTTATAAGAGAAATCTCCAATCTGGAATCCCAAAAATGCCTTCAGGTATAGGTGCTTCCTTCGATATTTCTACAGGTGAACTCAAGCTCCCAGCTATCTAACTCACTTATTAATCTGAACCCAGCTAGGAATAAATTTATACTGACCCTCTTTCTAGTCATCAATTTATTGTTGCTGATGAAACATCAATAGAATAGGTTAATTTAGATGCTGATATAAAAGTTTTCAAAAACGAATTTGAACTTACTAATATCTGGCTTGATGCTACTCAAAACGGATAATGGCTTGGAGGTGAATATAGTTAATCTAAAGACTTAAATGATGTCTTCAATAGATTCTTCACAAATAATTAATATACATCTATTGCTTAATAGCCTAAAAATGTGATCAGAATGGCTTTCAAGACTGATAATTTGAAGCTTAATAGATTCGCTTAAAGAGCAATCGATGCATTACCAGAAGATTATTAAGTTGATGTTTACAATGAGTTCTTAAATGCTTGGGGAACTCATATTTCTGTTGATACTTTTGTTGGAGGTATGATTGAAAAATAAACAGTGTTTAAAGATTGTATTTTCTTCACTCCTTAATTCACTGGTGGCTACTCAGCTGAACAAGTAAATGAAGCTTTAAGAAATGAATTGTAGGGTAATCCAGCTGAAGGATTTTTCACTGCTAGAAGATAGGTAGCATTGGATCATAAATTTGGTGGTAATCCAGAAGATGTTGCTAATTGGGAATAGACAATCAGCTAAAATCCTGCTTTGTTAAAAATTAATAGATTTTTATCTTGGGATAACATGACTGCAAATCCTTAAGTTAAGGCAAATTTATAACAAGCTATCAATAATAGAATCGAATCAATGAGACAAAGACAATAGAGCTATTAAGACTAAGTAAGAGAATAAAGAAGAATTGAAAGAGTATAACCTAGAACTGCCTGGGCTATTAAAGGAAATAGTTGCTTTCCAGGAGATTATACTATTCCAATAAATATTGGTATTACTAGATAATTTGAAATGAAACATGCTGATGTATGTCCTGTTGGATCAGAAAAAGCATATTCTGAAGCAAACTGCGCTTCTAGTCCTTTTAGTTAACTATAAGATTTTTTTACTGAAGTAAGATATGAAAGAGATTAAGAAGGTAATTATAGAACTATTATGTATAACTATTTAGCTAATTATAATTAAGGTCCTTAAGAGTTTATAGGAGATTTTATTGATAGAGGATGTAGTATTGCATAATATAACTAAGAAGCTAAATATACTGATTTAAATTTGCCTCCTCCAAACAGGACAATTTTTAAAATGATATGTACTGATTGCATACCTAGTGTGTATGACAGTCCTTAAGGATAAGTTTTCTAATGCAGCTGCCCTGCTTTTTGAAAAAGATTGAGCTTATAAAATAAAAATTTTTTAAAATATATTAAAATTGCTTTTTTATAAAAAAATTCTGAGCACTCATAAAAAACAAATAATATGCATATTTATTTAAATAAACATTTATATCAGACTTATTTTTTTGATTTTGCAAAAATTCTTCTTTAAATTAATTTATAAAGCATCTTTAATATTATATTTATTAATTAATTGTAAATTTATTCTAATAAATGATGAATTAATTCACTAAATATTAAGAAAAATGTAACCTTCACCAATTCTTATTTAAACAAAACATCTTAAAATTTAAAAAGCAAAAAAATAAGGTGTATAGTAAACTTTTTATTATTAACATTTTTTTTCATATTTTCTTACAATAGCCAAACTTCTTCTAACTAATCTAAGTTTAATGTTTCCTTTATTATTAAATTAATAATATAATAATTTTAATTTCTATTAAAACTCACTCCTTATACTTAAAATAATTAATTTCTTATTTTTTGGCTTACTTTTAAGTTTAAATTAAAAAAATGATTATGTGGTCAAAATTTAAAATGGTTAGATTATAAGGACGATTTATAGTGTAACCATAAAATAATCGAAATGATATATTTAGAAATAAAGAAAAAGCAACCAATTAAATTTTGTGCTGATAAAGAAAGAGGACGTCACTCATAATACATCTATAAGGTTAATATAAAAGAAAAAGGGTCATCTAGACACATACTCGCCTTTGATATCAATACATTTTTAATATTTATTAATATAACTAAATTAAATTGTAAATTTTAAAAGAAAATATAATAGATGAGAATTTAAAATAAGAAATTATAAATTATAACAACAAAACATTTTAAAATGAAAAAACATCAAAAAATATTTTGATTCATAAGGTAAAAAAGTAAATTATAAATAAATAAGATAAACAATAAAAGATTAACAAACTAAATAGATATTTAATAAGAAATAAAATAACAAATAACTCAAAATTCCTATTAATTTCCCATAATATTATTATTAATGTGACTTACAAACATACAACCTATATTTAGTTAAATAAAAAAGTTATGAAAAAGCAATCAAATCCATAAATTTAAACAACGAATGCATATATACTAACAAACAAACATTGATATTTAGATAAAACCTTTAATCTTAAGATAATTATTAATAATATATTTAAAAAAAAATAATAATGCTTGTGAATCAAAAAATTTTATTTTAAAAATGGATCAGATTAATTTTATTTATTAAATATAAATATTTATTTAAAGTAATTATAATAATTATTAATAATGAATAGCATACACATTCCTTTCTTTTTTTATATTAACTGAATTGAAGTCATTAAGAAATATAAAAAGCTTAATCTTTTAAAAGGTATTTTAATTTTGATTTATTTTTAGTATTTTTTTCTTTATGATTCATTTTTTTTTTTCCGCCTTTTAATTAATTAGTAAAAGTAATAAAATTAATATAATTTGTGGTAATTATTTATAATTTACTTTAACCTAAAGGAATATATTTTAGGTTTTTTCCTTTTATTTTTCTATTAATTAATTTGAATTTAATCAATAAAGGACATATTTTATTCTTCAATTACCACTTCTATCAAACAACAAATTTATTTGCTTAAATTATTAGCATATTTTTAAACTTTTAATAAAATAAATAGTTTGGCTCACTACAAATTAATCAATCATAATCTGTATTAAATTATTAGTTTTAACTTATAGATATTAAATAACTTTTCTTCTCTGATTTTATTTTTCCCTTTCTTTTGATTATTCTTTATAGTTTACATACTTTTGATTAT